TGCACATGCCTGCCCTTGCATTTGGGGGTGGGACCGTGGGAGTAGAGAGGAGAGTGAGAGAAAAAGGGAGATAAGGAGGGAGGGGAATAAAAAATTAATCTTTTTTGTACTCTGAAAGAGGGTTGTTCCAGCTTCTTGGTTATCATGAGACAAGAGGCTCATTTCTTACTGCTGATGAATTTCAATTGTAATTACAGAACCTTGGTAAGCCACATTAACTCCCAAGGGCTGGACCAAAAATATACCACCTGCAAAAGCCATTTGAATTCTCTTGGAAAAAACCTAGTAGCCAAGTCTGAAAGCAATTTGTGAACAGATATAAGCTGTTGCTGGGTGTCCATTCAAATTAGCTGTTCCTCCAACAATGCAAAGGGCCATGTTCTAAAAGTGAAATGACATGGCTGGTGGCTAGGTCCAGCATGACCCACACTTGCAAGTTTCTTCTGTGTTGCAGAAGTGAACAACAACAGTTAAACTTTAAAGATCAACAGTTTTTCAGTTGGGTTCCTGGAGAATAATGGTGCTTTTGTACAGTTCTTGAAGTAGAGCCTACAGCCGCCCCAAATAAAATAGTCTCTTTCAAGATCTTGGAAATAATGACCTCATAGGCAGATTGAACCAGCAATCCATTAATAGTTTCCTTTGTAGAGAGGTGTCTCAGGGGAGGGACCTGGCTTAGTAAATCAGCATTGTTTATAAACATAGCAGAATAGACTCTCCCCTTTTTTCCTACGTTTGTGGAATAGCCGGAGATACCTCCCATTTGGGAAGCAAATAGATTAACAGCAAGAGTGCCTTACAGGGCCCTACCCTTTCTCCATTGGTCACCTAAAAGTATACTCTGAAGTCCTTGCTTTTAAGGTGAGTTAAAGATAAGGAGTCTCCCACATTATTCCTTTGTCACAAACTCAGAATTATCTGGGACCATTAGAAAAAGATGAAGATTGGTTATGCCTTGTAAAGGGTCATGAAGAACTGATGTAATATTAGGATAATTTGAGCAAAACTGAATCTGAAATGTCTAGGTAAACTGAGTGTTTATTTGCTTCGTGTTCCTATTGTGGAAATGGGCCAAGATTCTTCAGTTTCATTTCCATCTCTGTAAGAGATTTATTTCAGCCCTTCTTATAATCCCTTGATGAGTTGAACACAATTAAACTGATTCCAGTTTTCTGGGCAGTAGAAAGATGTGCCATTTAAGCTGGGTCCCTTACAGAATGCCTGTGATGTGGACCATGGCAAGTATGTGGTATTCATATTTTCGGCAGCAATTTCTAGTCTAGTATAGGAGAGTATAGTATGAGTTCTATATTCCAAGTAGCCCTTTTTAATTTCGACCTGAAAAGAAACAGGGCATCTACTTTTTGAGTGTCTAGCCAGAGAGAGTATTTAAGGATGAAAAAGGCCACTGTTAGCCACACCTAATTATCCACAACAAAGGCACCTAGTATTTTAGATTACGTAGGTGCACTAGAACCCTGAATGGCTCAGACTCCTACTTGCCTTATTGTGTAAGATCAGTTTTGTATATCATTTTAAAGAGGCCATGTATGTTTCTCTGGCTTCTGTCATCTCAAGTTAAATATGTCCTCAGAAAATAGATATCATCCAGAACATGGTGGCTCTCTCTCCCCATGAGACACATTTTTCGGAAATCTGTTTTCTAGGTCTTACTTAGGATCTTCAGTTCTTTTGTAATAACTTTCAATTTTCATTATTTTTACCAAGATTCTGTACATTTGAGCTTTATTTAATAATCATCTTATATTCAGGCATTATTTTTGAACCTAGGAAGTAAAACAGACAAAACACACACAAGGCGAAAAAACTAGTGCTTTTATTCTTCGTCTGGCAAATTCTTCTTCAACACTAAGTAAAAACCATGAACCTGTCTGATACAGAATACCATTGGTGAAATCAGTCTTAAACTTACTTATCTTCTGGAGAAAGAATGAATTGAGAAGGATCAAAATGTGAAAGGGAATGTAGACCCATTAGCACTGATTTCATATTCTAGTTAAAATATTTACCAGTAGTCTATGGATATACTTGATCCTTGACATCACAGTTTCTTTTTCATTTTACCTTGTGCTATAGTTTCACCAGCTTCCCTGGTGGCTCAGTGGTAAAGAATCCACCCGCCAAGCAGGAGACGCAAGTTTGATCCATGGGTTAGGAAGATCGCCTGGAGAAGGAAATGACAACCCATTCCCGTATTCTTGCCTGGGAAATTCCATGGACAGAGGAACCTGACGGACTATAGTTCATAGGGTTGCAGAGTCAGATATGACCGAGTGTCTAAACAATAAAGACAACACAGTTTCACCCATATAGGAAAATGTGAGACTTACAAAGCTGGTGGTGGTGGTAGTGACAATGCATTTACTACTGAATATTTTCACTGTCACAATTCCCCAAAAAACTAGAATTGGTCTTAATTGATTAAGATAATGCAAGGCATGACAGTTAGGCAAAGGAAAATAGATCTCTTGTCCAAATCAAGATCTCACCAGTCATTGTTTGTTGGCGGTCACCTGTGCAGATGGAGAAGCTATGAATTGGTACTGTTATTTTTGAATACTTACAGGCTCTATATATTTGAGAAAATTTTAAACAGTAAAGTTTTTTTTTAATTTCCACTTAATGTAATATAATTTAGAATTCACTACTGAAAATAATAAACGTAACTACTGAAGGGCTGAAAGGAATGATGGCAGGTTATTTCTCATTAGAGCAGGTAATGTTTTTGTTGTTGTTGTACTTAGGTATGTTATTGGAATAAAGTGATATGCTGAGTTGTGTTTGGAGAGCTCTTATACTGCTAATTAGCATCAGTTAATACTTGATGAAATTACAAAGATTTTGTTGCAGTAGTATTTGATTTTCCTTGAATTGGAAGTGGAGATTCACTTGGTAGGTACTCTTTTTAAAAATTGAGTTACAGAGTTACAATGTTGCATGTATTGCTGCTGTACAACAAAGTGATTTAGCTATATCATGGCATCTGATCCCATCACTTCATGGGAAATAGATGGGGAAACAGTGGAAACAGTGTCAGACTTTATTTTTGGGGGCTCCAAAATCACTGCAGATGGTGCTTGCAGCCATGAAATTAAAAGACGCTTACTCCTTGGAAGGAAAGTTATGACCAACCTAGATAGTATATTAAAAAGCAAAGACATTACTTTGCCAACAAAGGTCCATCTAGTCAAGGCTATGGTTTTTTCAGTGGTCATGTATGGACGTGAGAGTTGGACTGTGAAGAAAGCTGAGCGCCGAAAAATTGATGCTTTTGAACTGTGGTGTTGGAGAAGACTCTTGAGAGTCCCTTGGACTGCAAGGAGATCCAACCAGTCCATCCTAAAGGTGATCAGTCCTGGGTGTTCATTGGAAGGACTGATGCTGAAGCTGAAACTCCAATACTTTGGCCACCTCATGCGAAGAGTTGACTCATTTGAAAAGACCCTGATGCTAGGAAGGATTAGCGGCAGGAGGAGAAGGGGATGACAGAGGATGAGATGGTTGGATAGCATCACTGACTCAATGGACATGAGTTTGAATAAACTCCGGAAGTTGGTGATGGACAGGGAGGCCTGGTGTGCTGCAATTCATGGGGTTGCAAAGAGTCAGACATGACTGAGCGACTGAACTGAACTGAGTATATATGATTAATATATATATATTATGCATTCCTTTTCATTATGGTTTATCACAGGATATTGAATATAGTTCACTTGTTATTTATCTATTCTGTATACATTAGTTTTCATCTGCTAACCTCAAACTCCCACTCCGTCCCTCCCCCACCCTGTTTCCCCTGGAAGGTACTTGTAACACCTGACTTAAAATGTGTCAGGGCCCTAATGGAAAGACTTGAACTAGAGTGGGAAGACAGCTAGGAACCGAAGCAGTTCCTTGAGTTTGTGCTTTTCCAGTTCACGTAACCCTTCAGTGGGATGAAACCCAAATGTGTTCAGCTCTTGGCACAAAATACTAAAGAATAATGAAATTAAGAGCAGATAAGTTGCTAAGACCCAAACTGGTTCTTACCAGCCTGTCACCCCTGTCAATTCCCTTGTTCCTTCTTCCAGGACATAAAATATGACAAGGAATAGGGTTATGGTGTCTCCTCAGGAAACGGTCCTCTCATTGGAGTTCCTCTTTGCTCCTGGTGACACTTATCTCTGTTTTATCATCTACTCTGTTACTTGCAGATGGAGCAGTGCTTCTCCTAGCAGTCTACCCCAACTTTGCTGAAACTACCAGGTTTACTAGATTGTTTGTCAGTTCTTTCTCATAAAGCAATAGAATGTGTTTTGTTCATCAGGTACACACAGATATGAATCAGATGCCAAAGGTATCCCAATATCAAAGTGACTAACATGATTGTTGTGGGCTGTCAAAAATCAACAACCAGGCCTATGTCAATTCTAGACTCCGAGGAGGTGGTGCTGCCTGACCAAAATGATCATTATTGTTGTTCAGTCACTCAGTCCTGCCTGACTCTTTGCAACCCAATGGACTGCAGCACTCCAGGCTTCCCTGTCCATCACCAGCTCCCAGAGTTTGCACAAACTCATGTCCATTGAGTCAGTGACGCCTTCCAACCATCTCATCCTCTGTCACCATTTCTGCTCCTGTGCCCAGTCTTGCTCACAAAGAGGAAAGATTGTAAATTGTTCATTAAAAGACTGTGTGTGGACAGCAGAAAATAGAGTGTCTTTGGGAGAAGGCACCTTAGGTATTTGTATCTACATGTTGAAAAAGCTCACCTTTGCTTTCCTCTTTAGGAAATTGCATCATTAGGGAGACAGCTCCCTTCCCTCTAGAAAAGGAACCCCTCAGAATGGTTATTATCAAACCTGAGATAGCATGAGACCAATGCTTCTGTTTCTAAGACATTAGATCTCCTGTATATACCAGATTGTCTTTCAGACCTCTCTGAACTCCTGTTTTCTCCTCCTCTTCTTTAGGAGTTGTGCAATCAGTTATAACTGAAAATGTCTGACGGTCTGGATAATGAAGAGAAACCCCCAGCTCCCCCACTGAGGATGAACAGTAACAACCGGGATTCTTCGGCACTCAACCACAGCTCCAAACCACTTCCTATGGCCCCTGAAGAGAAGAATAAGAAAGCCAGGCTTCGCTCTATCTTCCCAGGAGGAGGGGATAAAAGTAAAGTATCAGTGGCTGGGTGTTGGAAAGGGGCTAGTTTATTCTTTCATTGTCGCTTTCTTTCTCAAGTCATTTCTTGAGCATGGGCTGTTCAGGGTCTGCCTGACTTTTGCATCTCCATCTTCAGAGGTTGCATTTTGTCAGAGGATGATGTTTGATTGACTTACTGTAGGTTTACAGAAAATACACTTAAATGCTGTGTTTGCCTTTCACATAACATGGAATTCAGCGGTAAGCCACGGGAAATCATAGCTAGAAGACTGTTTTACAGATATGAATAGTGCCTTTCTTTCTGATAAAACTTAAAGGAGAATTTATAGTAATCCCTTCCTAACTACAAGTTGTCCTTATTAGGAATATGAGTATTGGTGGATTTACTTCTGTATACCATTTTGACAACCATGAAAATGTTGAATTGAGCATACGGAAGTCAGTCCAAGTGCCACGTTATTGTCTGTCTGACTATATCACAAAGTGTGAAGAAATTTCTGAGTCATTTGTTTCCTCTACCATTCTTCTGCCAGTCATCCCCTACACGATCAGGCTATTTTGCATTAAGTATCACAACAGTATATTATCATTTATCCTTGGTCCTCAAATATCATATGCTGACACTTTGTGACATTGGGGAATATAAAATCCCTCATAAGTAATTGTCAGGTTGCATTAATTAGCATAAAGCCTAATACATGGCTTCTATAAATGTGACTTATTGTGGCAGAAGAGAGTAAAACCAGGTACAAGGACTCCAGCACCAGAGAAAGTTGCTAAAGGGCAAGAAGAGTGATATCTCTTTAAGAGAAAAGGGACACTCTTAAGCTTCTTAAAGGTAAAACAGATACCTTTATAGGTAGCTTATATTATATTAATGAATTTCCATAAGGAAGCTGAAACTCTTGAAGCCAATATTGCCTCCTGTATACCTATGGCATGTAATAAATGCTTTACCCCTCGTGACCCAAGGATGGAAAAGACAGAAATGTTGTTAAACCTCTGGATTGAAAACAAACAAAGGAATAAGAAAACACTTTCCGGTGGCTCAGATGGTAAAGACTCTCCCTGCCAATGCAGGAGACCCAGGTTTGATCCCTGAGTCAGGAAGATCCTCTGGAGAAGGGAATGGCTACCCACTCCAGTATTCTTGCCTGGAGAATTCCCTGGACAGAGAAGCCTGGCAGACTATGGTTAGACATGACTGAGTGACTAACACTTTCACTTTTCCATGCAAGGGATCTCCCATCATGTGAGAGGAATTTTTGAAGACATGTTTTCAGACACCAAAGTGGATCCCGAAAAAAAAGAGCTGCCAAGAGCAATGGACGGTTTGAGAAATGCATGGTGCACCTGGAAATGCATGCACGACCTGGAAACTGAATCTTAGGTGACAGTGGTGCCAAAGAAAGAACCACTAGATCCTGCAGCTCCCGCATTGTATCTGCCACAACTGTAGAAAGCAACTAAGGAGGAGAGTCATGTGCGTGCACAAATCTTTGGTGCTGTCGAGACTGCCATGCTTTGGAAGCCCTTGAACAATCAATCCTGCTTGCCCTTCTGAAGAGCATGAGCCAACTGATGCTGACATGAGGCCAGCCAAAACAGAGAGGCTGGTGTTTCTGTTTTGTGTCAGTAGTTCAGGTGACCTCACAGTGAAACCATTACTGTCTGCAGAAAACTAGGCCCATATCCTCTCAGAGGAAACAACTAAGCTAAGTTTCCAATATACCGGCATGCAGATAGAAAAGCCTGATGACTCCCTCTCTCCTTAAGGAATGGGTTTAACAGTGCTTTCTTGCAGAAGCTCAAGACTACTAAAAAGAAATCTTGAATTCAAAATCATATTGATTCCTGCTTGTCCTTTTGGTTCCTCAGATGCATTGGCAAATGTGCATCCTCATTTTAAGGTTGTCTTTATAACCAGTGGCATGATTCAGGTCCTGGAACCCTTAGACAGTGTTTTGTCTGACCTTTAAGAAGACTTATGCCAAGCTAATGTATAACTTTGCTGTTCAGGATCTTACAAAGGCACCTCTGTCTGAAGATGGTAGTGCATGGAATTCCTACACCATCACTCATGCTGTATTCTTCATAAAAGAGGCATTAGATAGTTTAACATTAATGTGCCGTGGGAGACTACTGGGCATATACCCAGAGAAAACCATAGTTGAAAAAGACACATGTACCCCAGGGTTCATAGCAGCACTATTTACAACAGCTAGAACATGGAAGCAACCTAGGTGTCCATCAACAAATGAATGGATAAAGAAGATGTGTTACATATACACAATGGAAGATTGCTCAGCCATAAAAAAGAACAGATTTTAGTTCTAGTGAGATGGATGAACCTAGAAACTGTTATACAGAGTGAAGTAAGTCAGAAAGAGAAAAACAAATATCATATGTTAATGCATATATTTGGAATCTAGAAAAATGGTATTGATGAACCTATTTACAAGGAAGGAATGGAGATGCAGACATAGAGAATGGACTTGTGGACACAGTAGGGAAAGGAAAGAGGGGCAAATAGAGAAAGTAGCATCAACATATATACATTATCATGTGTGAAATAGATAGCTGGTGAGAAGTTGCTGTATCACACAGGGAGCCCAGCCTAGGCTCCAAGCAGCAGCCCAGCCCTGCTCTGTGATCACCTGGAGGGGTGAAATAAGAATAAGTATGTATTCTTCATAAAAGAGGCATTAGATAGTTTAACATTAATGTTAAACTAATTTCCCCCTTGATGTTGGAGGAAGGGGAGAGATGCTCAAAAGGGAGGTGATATATGGCTGATTTGCATTGTTGTACAGCAGAAACCAGCACAACATTGTAAAGCAATTTTATGCTAATTAAAAAATGAATTAAAAAACATACATGGGAGAAAATTGGACTAGAGATAGAGAAGTGTCTTTCAGTGATTTCTCCTAAAGACCTTAAGAATATTTGGAACAAGAAGAAGCTGTGGGTGAGGATGAACATTTGGCACAGGAGCAATCATTGGCTGAAGTTGAGTCTTAATCTATTGATGCTGATTTAAGTGATGTGCTGGGCTAGAGGATGACTCAGGAAGCTCATGGGACCACAGAGGTGATTATCATAAGTGATGATGAAGATAATTAGGAAGCTATAGTACTGGAGACAAATGCAATTATAAGCAACAGGAGAAAAATTTTTAGAACAAGATTAAAATCTCCCAGAAACCATCTTCAGCAGAGCTTAAATCATCAGGTAGTACCATTTAATATGATTGCTGGACAGCTGATAAACTGCCTTTGTACAAGGCTTGAATGATTTTAATTGAATTTATAAAGAAGTGGAGTCTTTGTTTTTACAACACCATGTTCAGAAAAAAGCAACCTCAGAAGAGCCTAAATCATTAAGTAGTGTCATTTAAATATCTGTGCCAGACAGCAGATAAGCTGCCTTCAGACAAACTTCGTTGCAGCATTATTTACAACAGCTCGAACATGGAAGCAACCTAGATGTCCATCGACAAATGGATAAAGAAGATGTGGTACATTTACACAATGGAATATTACTTGGCCATAAAAAATAATGAATTTTAGTTCTTTTGAGCTAAAGATTTGCACTCTATGCAGACGTGCTATGGTGTCTTCAGAAAAAGACTTGAGAAGACAGAAAGCATCTTGAAGAGCCAAAGTTGTTAAGTCATGCCACTGAAATTCACTTGCTTGTTAGGGCTAAAGCTCCAATCAAATTGTTTTAATCTCAGGATCGGACTTAGATGAAGACTCTGAGAGCACGAAGATCCATGATTTGAACTAACAGTCCACCTCTGTTTGTTGCTTCACTGTCACCCTCATTTTCCACTGCCATGAGTGGGTACATCTTTATCACCTCAGGAAACCATTTCAGGCTCTAAATGGAAACTATACAAGCCTGTCACTTTTAAGTAATTCAAGCTATGTAAATTATCATTATTCTGTTTATGTAATGTACTGTTATTATTTTGTTTTACTGCATAAAAAATATTTATGAGGACTTTCAAAAGTTCACCTATGACCTCAGTTCCCCTGCCATGTTTTTTTTTTAACCACATAAAATTATAATTTCCTCAGTGGAACTCTCCTATCTAGGTGAGGGTCACTGAGGAACTTGACCCTCATAGGTAAGGAGGGGTTGCTGTTTGTATGTTTCTGCCTGTGAGTGATGACTTGGGTTATACTACAGTCAGTCTCCAATGAATGGAAAGAGCACTGTACTTGGGTTTTGGAGACTTAGGGTCAAGGCCAGCTCTGCCACTGATTATTGTGACTTTGGGCTAATCACTTAGTTTTTTTGATCCTAAGTTTCATCACCTGTTAAATTGAAGATAATAAGACCTGGCCTACCTAGCAAAATATTTTTGATAATCAAATGTAATTCTCAATATCAGAGTGCTATTAAAGGTAAAATTTTAAAGTGCTAAGTAATTGTGAGGTGTTATTATATCTGTATCATTCTGGAACTTTACAAACGACTAAAAAACTAGGTTTTAGAATTCTTGTTTCTTGCTTTAAGTGACTTTGTCCATAACTAGAATTTATATGTCAGTTAATAGGAAATTTTCTTTAAAAAGTTAAAATCAACTCCAAATTTCACAAGCCAAAGATAACTAACTGGGTTGGTATTTTTCCTCCTAGTTCTTCTCATCATATGGAAATTGTCATCAATAATAAAAACTTGGAAAATAAAGACAAACATATAGAAAAGAAAAACCACTCATATCCACAAATCTCAGAAACAATATTAACATTTAGTGGCTTGCTTTCCATACTTTTTAATGGCTATATATATATGTAGTTTTTTATATAGTTAAAATCATAATATATAGTTTTACACCAGCTTTTTCACTCACTATTTTATCGTGCACATTTTCCCCTATGTTTAAAATTTTTTTCATAAATATAGTTTTTGATGGTGTAGAATATTTCATCATATAGTAACATCATGGTTTATTTAGCCATTTATTTTGTTGGTTATTTGAGATCCTATCCAAATTTTTG